AAAATATTTTTTAAATAGTATTTTAGTTTCGTCATCAACCGATTCAATTCATTTGCACTCAGATGTCTGGAGGTAAAGCGTTCGGAGAGATCTATCCAACTTTTCCTACTTCTAGGTCAAAAATCACCAATAATGCCGATTTCCTGAGCGACCGTCTGATAATTAATATCTTTACGCTTGGAAAATCCTCGCTTTCCTGCTGTGCTGACCATATTTATCTGCAACTCCTATGTATAACGATTCGATGAAGCACTTCTGCACCTTAATCGAAAGGAAACGTGAACAAGAATTGGAACAAGGACTGCGTGTCGTCGATGGTTGTGACGTCACAATGGTGGTTCATATTAAGATTACAGCCTGCACAACTCAAATTACCACGAGGGCCGCAAGGATGAATCTGAAGGCCCGGCGGGCCGCAAACTTTGCCACATACATATTTCACAAGATGAACTTCAAATCAGAATAATACTGTGAAACAGTTAAATTTGATGAAACACTTTCATTACTGGGAAGCTTAAAAATATGAAGAATCTTATTTTCTTGAGTATTTAGTGGTTCATCTACCTTGAAAATCCACCCTTCATTTTCAATATTTTTTTTTTATTAGAATAAGGTATTGCGTGTTGCAGTATAAACTGACTGCAGGAAAATATTTTACTCAGGTTCAGATTTGTAAAATCGTCCCACATATAGGTATTCAGTCATATCTAACATTTTTAGATATTTCCATTGCAGGCTGGACAAACAATCCGTTTAGTAGCAATAGATCTTCCTACTTTTTCGACTGTTAAATTACATTTTTCTACAAAATCTGCTCCAAAATTTTGAAGTTTTACAATAAATAGCAATATCTTTTGTGCGAGAATTTCTGCAGCATTCATGAATGAAAAAATTGTTTTTCAAGTTCTAAATTTGAAAAAGAAACTTCAGTTTCATAAACTGCTAGTAAAAAATAGTGGGGTTACTAATAGGGTTGCTAATATGCACTAATGGGTGTGAGATTGTATACCGATATTGTTTTGAGCGTGATTCAGTTTGAATACCGAGATATCTAAATCAGGGTTTCCCAAACTGGGGGGCGAGAGGTCGGGCGACGAATTTTAAGGGTCGCGAAGGGCACACCAATTTTACACCAAGTTCGATATTTATCGAAACTAGTGCAAAACATAAATCTCACGATTTCTAATATGATCGGAGTAGCGGCGCGCTTGCATAAATAACAATGTAACAAAAAAAACAATAACAAAAATTTGTTTCCAAATCACCCGCGGGCCGCACAGAAGTATCTAGCGGGCCGTATGTTGTGCAGGCCTGACTACGCTTAATCAATATTGTAATGCCATTACAATATTGATTAAGCGTAGTCGAACTCAGTAGAAATGTACTGATACCACTTTTGTCGCCGACATCGATACCTTTCTGATACCAACTAGAAACTCCGATACCGATACCTGTCCGATACCAACTAGAAACGCCGATAATGATATTTGAAAAAAGCCTATATACCGATATCGATACTATTTAATTATTACCTCAAATGCGGAATCATTGTCTTAGCCTAGTTACGCTGACTTATCGGCAAACACATAGGGATGAATAGATGAATTTCTACATCTGCGAAATACGGATCTTTAGTACAAAGCCCTCGTCAATGGTGGATAACTTATATTATGTTTATATTTTTCTGTATCCGGAGGCTGGGCGAAATACGGATTGCCACTAATGCGAAAAAGTGAAATTTTAGAAAAGCACGTTGTGAAATAACAAATTTATTTATCCAGTTGCGCATTCGGAATAATTTGAGAATTTGAAGTTCCGGTGCATACTGCATTCCTAGCGATCACCCTAAAACCGTAACTGGATTATTTCTATTTTTAGCGGAGGCGGTGGTGTTTTTATGGTGGAGGCTTTGTACAAAATATCTCAAAATACTTATCTGAAGCATTATTAACTAGAATTTTTTATATCAACCCGGCACGAAATATCATAAAGGTAGGTTCGGTAAGACGTAAGTTGAAATAGGTTTGAGGGTGCTGTCGGAATTACCAAAAGAGTGGGGGGTGTAAATCCGAAGAAATCCAGAATTTTCATGAAACTGTCGCCGCAATCACGCAGGCAGGCTACTTGTGAAAAAAGCCCACTTTTCAGACGGATGATTTTCTGTTATGTTATCGGGTAATGATTTTGCAGTTGCCCAAAGTATTCAATTGGCGACTAATCCGAGTCTATTTATAATGTCTTGCTTTATTAATTTAATTGTCTTTTTAATGTAACCTGCAGTTGCGTCAACAAAATAAGAACATTACTACGTAAATCACGTCAATCCACAGTAAAAAAAAGTGTTCCAAACCGCCCGACTATATTTAGTTTTGATTCGTACTTTTTCGATGTTATTAATTATACAAATTTGTTTATGTAATACCGACTCCGCTTTATTGCACTGATACCACCCAAGATTATTTTCAAGAAATCAACGTTAGAAAAATCTGCGATTATAGGGTGAAATATGCGATTTTCAGTAACCATTTACGGCAAGTTTGAAACATATTTTAACGATTCTTTTTCTAGAGCAAGACTTTATTGATGTATTGCAAAAAAAAAAAAAATTTAAAAAAATTTCAATTTGGGGAACATATAATAGATTAGCAAATACCATTTTTAAGGTGAAATATGCAATTTTCGGTAGTCATTTACGGCAAGTTTGAAACATACTTTAACGATTATTTTTCTAGAGCAAGACTATATTGATGTAATGCAAAAAATATCAAAATTTAAAAAAAATTCCAATTTGGGGAACATATAATAAATTAGCAAAAACCATTTTTAGGGTGAAATATGTGACTTTCGGTAGTCATTTACGGCAGGTATGAAACATACTTTAAAGATAATTTTTCTAGAGCAAGACGTTATTGATGTAATGCAAAAAATATCGAAATTTAAAAAAATTCGAATTTGGGGAACATATAATAAATTAGCAAAAACCATTTTTAGGGTGAAATATGTGACTTTCGGTAGTCATTTACGGCAAGTTTGAAACATACTTTAAAGATAATTTTTCTAGAGCAAGACGTTATTGATGTAATGCAAAAAATATCGAAATTTAAAAAAATTCCAATTTGGGGAACATATAATAAATTAGCAAAAACCATTTTTAGGGTGAAATATGTGACTTTCGGTAGTCATTTACGGCAAGTTTGAAACATACTTTAACGATTATTTTTCTAGAGCAAGACGTTATTGATGTAATGCAAAAAATATCTAAATTTAAAAAAATTCTAATTTGAGGAACATATCATAAATTAGCAAAAACCATTTTTAGGGTGAAATATGTGATTTTCGGTAGTCATTTACTGCAGGTTTGAAAGATACTTTAACGATTATTTTTCTAGAGCAAGACGTTATTGATGTAATGCAAAAAATATCAAAATTTAAAAAAATTCCAATTTGGGGAACATATAATAAATTAGCAAAAACCATTTTTAGGGTGAAATATGTGACTTTCGGTAGTCATTTACGGCAAGTTTGAAACATACTTTAACGATTATTTTTCTAGAGCAAGACGTTATTGATGTAATGCAAAAAATATCTAAATTTAAAAAAATTCTAATTTGAGGAACATATCATAAATTAGCAAAAACCATTTTTAGGGTGAAATATGTGATTTTCGGTAGTCATTTACGGCAAGTTTGAAACATACTTTAACAATTATTTTTCTAGAGCAGACTTTATCCTTGTAATGCAAAAAATATCAAAATTTAAAAAAATTCAAATATGGGGAACTTATAATAAACAAACGAAATCATAGTTCAAACGGCAAACAATACCGTTGACTGCATAGTGCTTTTGTTTTTCGAAGTAAGATTCTGAAAGAAAAAAAATTGGGATTCGTGGGAACATATAAAAAATTAAATTCCGATCAGGAACATTAGTTTGTATAATAAATAAACCAAAATCCCAACTTGATGATCTCATGACATCCGCGCTTCATATGACACCGTGTTACGTTAGTGACAGAATTAGGTTTACGATTTATCTTCTTGCAGAATTGGATGCTGAGAATTGGCGGCCAGGGTAACCCAGGTTCCCAGAACCCATAAATAATGTCATTCAAAATAGCAATGGTACTGAAATAAGATTATACTGACCAGTTACGCTTCAGTGATAATCTTGTGGATATAAGTGAATGAAGAATACGACCCAGACCTGAAAACTATTGGCTTGCAACAGTTCTCAACAAATCCCATTATTGCACTTAATTAGAATCATGACATACAAACTTTAAATCTGGTTTACAGAATAATCATAGCCTAATCAGAGGCTAATAATTCTGCCAGTTTTCTCTTGTATTGCCCTCTGAGGCAGAAAAAAAAATGCTGCAGGAGGGCGTGATACTATATTTTGTAAAGTCCTAATATTACTTAATCAAATGTCAAGCAATGATAAAAAGGCAGTAAATTCAACTTAAATTTTATGTACTCAATTGTTAAATACACAGCGATTTACAAAAATATAAGTTATATTTCATTTTGGGTGATAAGAATAGATAAATACTTCCAAAATACCTGACCACATTACTGATTAAGCGAAATATAAAAATTTTATCAACAAATTAATTATTAGGACTAAGAAATTTAATTTACTTAATGACACCACCCAGAAGGTATATTATGTCTCATTAGGATTCCGTGCCATGATCTGGCATTATTATTCTGAATCCTAATAGTTTCCACCAATACCATAGCTACATAATATCTAGGTTTATAGACTGCACTAACTATTATTTGTATAAACTTCCTTGGCAGAATATTCTTTGTCTATTTCAAGTGTAATAATTCTGTCAGCTTAGATGTAATTTTCTGTAGCTTCTGCAAAAAAGCAAGAAGATTCTGATGCTCTATCACTGTTTGGTATTCTATTTCAGAAGGTTTTGCATATGCTCAGTCAGATTTCAACACAATAGTAACAAAGCAGTGAATTTTACATGAATTTTTATTACTTACTCGTTTAGTGCCATCATCATTTTCCCACAGTGATTCAAATCATATGCATCAAGAGTTAAATTCATTGTTTCAGTTCCAGGTTGGAAAGTTCTAATTAAACTCACTATGTTACAGATCAACCTTGTTTCACAGATCTAGTTTAAGGAAAATATCATATCAGAAAGAGTTTTATGCAAACTGAATTTTCAAAAGTTTGCACGGAAGTCACAATGCCTAGACTATATTTTTTCTGGATCAAAATTGCAAAACCGAAACTAGTCGTCAATCAGAACACTGATTTTACATCATCGCCAAAGCATGATAAAAATTTATTCACAATGCCTAGACTATATTTTTTCTGGATCAAAATTGCAAAACCGAAACTAGTCGTCAATCAGAACACTGATTTTACATCATCGCCAAAGCATGATAAAAATTTATTCTTATTCTTGCACATTTGCGTTATTATATGCAAGATAATGAAGAAATAAATGGAGAAGCGGTACTCCCGAAGTATGTGAACCAAGATGGAGGACACTGTAACGTAGTATGTGTACCAGCTTAAGCTAGAGTTGCCCTACCTTCTGGACACTTTCGGACATGTCCGGAATTTAAGGTTAAATTTTGCGTCCGGGAAAAATTTAAAAAATGCTCAAATGTCCGGAATTTTACTGCATCTGCAATCGTACTGTGCACACTGCTAATACAGAACATTGTTATTTCGTACCGTGCGCATATTTTTAACTACCAGGTCATGAAAATAGTCATGCACTGTCCAGAATTTTGCTTTTTCAAATATGGTGACCCTAGGTTAAGCCAAATTTACAGGTACAAATACTATGGCAGTCATTTGGCTAGTCCCGAGTACTCACAATAGAACTAGTATATGGAAAATTGGAATAAAATTATGGCCTAACTCTAACCGGCTACGTTGCGGTGTCTGTTATCTTTGTTCACATACTTTGGAAGCGCCGGTGGAACAACTAAAATTTGTTTTCATGGTGGACATAGAAAAGGTTCAATAGTCCCTGTCCATATTAACATGACAGTTTCACTGTAATTTCCACATCGTACATTTTCATGCCCTACTAATTTGCGAGGATTAGGTAAGACGCACCTTTGTTTTTGTTGGCTCAACGAAAGAGGTAAACTATACATAACCAAACAATACCGGTACCACAACAAACATTCAATACATCACTTATTAACACACAGCAAACAGATACCATAACTTATATAAAATATTGCGTAAAAGCTTTTACTTTACAATAGCTTTAGGTACCAGTAAGTATGAAATGCTATCCCAGTCAAATCATCATTTGGATGACTTAATGTAATGTATATTTAGTCTGACAACTGCAGCTCTTGATTTACAAGTCGATTACGTGGTTCCAGACAAAAGAAGAATCTGATGTATCGAGATAGGGGATTCCCCGTCTAGTAAAAACGGTCGTGATTATTCGTGCGTTCAATAAAAAGAGCTACCGATGTCGGGTATTCTATCTACATCAGTGGTTCTCGAACTTTTTTCAGTTCGCATACCGGAGAAATTTCGAAACAAATTTTGCGGACTGGGGGACCTTTAGGGAACCTGCGGACCAGAAAAAATTTCACTTTCTAACTTTCAAATCCTAGTTACTTGTGTGCGCATGTTTGACAGAAATTAGGCGACCCCGGAAAATCTTCACGCGAGGGTCGCGACTCACAGTTTGGGAATCAATGACCTACACCAACTAGGTGAAAACTACGAAAAACTAGTTAGATAATTGATTTAATGCATCTTTAGTCTGACAACTGCAGCTCTTGATTTACAAGTCGATTATAAGGTTCCAGACGACAACAGAGGAATCAGGTGTATCAATATAGGGGATTCCCCGTCCAGTCAAAACAGTCGTGATTATTGATGCATGACTTGATACCCGCCCAATTTCGCTCACGATGTCGGGTATTCTACATTATATTACTTGTCGAAACGAGGTAACTGGGGAATAAAATTGTTCGTATTCACCACGGGGGAGAGTAAGATGCTCTTCGTTGTTTTATATCATCAGGTGGCCTAACATGTTGGATGGGTAAATTAATGTCAAGTTTTCAAACATCAGAGTGATTGTCAATCATCGCAGTTTAAAATGATTCAGGTGGAAAGCTTTGGCGTGGGATATTTAGACCTTGTTTATAAAGAAACATTCAAAGCGATAGAAGCTAATATCTGAATGTCTTTCCCATCCATTGTTTTAACAACTTTCCAGGAGTTAACAGCTGGATCATATTCTTCTATTGTGTTCTTGGAAACATGCCTGCAATAAATAACGACGCAATCAAAGTATTAAATAGAAAACTCAAAGTTTAATATAATAGAGTTATACATTAGTTGAATTTTACTTATTTTATTACTTTCTATCGAAATGACAAAAGTACAAATGATGGCTAAGTAGCGATAGGATACACTTTGGACATGGAAATCACCCAATTCGGGTTGCGATTAATCATGCTAGAGCTAGACTCAAAGAATCGAATTTTCCGGACATGGCAGATTTGAACTACCGAATGGTTGCTTATTCAGAGTCTGAATTACTAATATACAAAATAAGTTGTTTTCGGTTTTGGACTAAACAACATGTTGATTGAATAATAGATACGTGCAATAAATAGCTTAGTTTATAAATCAAGTTCCAACTCACCCTCCAACAGCAAATATCTTTTCTTCAATAACACATGCTTTAACATATCTCCTTGGATTGTTTAATCTGGCAACAGTGGCCCATGTTTCTGCAACTGTATCGAAGCATTCCACAATATTCGAGTAATCAATGCCGCAGTGTCCGCCTGAAAAATGACAGTAACATAGAAAGATATCTCAACTATCATTCGAATTATAATTGAAAAATTTATTTTATTTTGTTTCTCGGATTTCAGCCACGTGAGTTTATGTCAATATTGCTTGAAAAAATTATGTAACACTTTATTGGGTCTGTTAAATAATATCGACCCGAAGACATATGTATCGGTGATGTGTACGTATGGCCAATAAGATGAAATTTTGCACACATCCGCGTGGCTGATTTATGAAACCTATTCGCAGTGTATCATTAACGCAGAATATATTTGAAAATAATTTCTTACCCATGACATAAATCTTCCCATCAAGTTAAACTGCTGCTGCACCATTTCTTGCAGTCGGCATTGAAGGAAGTTTCGTCCATGTTGAATCTGACGGATTGATTTATTGTATTTGATAGATATTTACCGTTGTTACTTCCAATACAGTAAATGAAGCCTGAATAGAATGATATGAAGATTTTGTGAACTTAGATTTTTAGGTTGGCAATCGTCATGTAACCATAAATTCTTCCACAAAATTAATGTACAATGCTGATGGAGAGCTGTTTTATAGAATTAAACTTTTTTAAGTCGACATTTTCTATTCAACTTAACTTTTCTGCCCACACGTATGCAAATGTTCACGTATGGAGAACATGCACCAACTGAATTCCTATTTTTTTTCCCTCTTGAATCTTGTTTTGCCTCATAAGCCACCGACAAAGAGAATTTATTCTTTGTAAATTATACCAACTCCTTAGA